ATTCACCTTTAAAGTATATACTTCATTGATTATTATATATTCAGAGTTGTGCAATTATTGCTATAATTTTTATCATCCTTCTCCCCAATCCTATGCCTATTAATAGTTACTCCCTATCCGACCTTAGTCCCAGGCAATGACTAATTTACAAAGTGTTTAGACTACTGAATTGTATAAAGTATTACATAAGTATTGCTAAGTAAATAAATCACATAATAATAAACCATCTTACCTTCCATGTAGATTATAAACTTTACTATGTTAAAGACTATCTCCCATGTTGTATGAGTTCTGACAACACCTAATGTTAACCTGTACATATTAAATATTTGGTAACTATCAGAGTAACTTTTTCATAGAGAGTGAAATGGAACCCTAGACTATCTAGAGGTCTGGAATTTATGTTGAGAAAAATTAGAAAAGACAAGTTTAATGATAGGATGAAAGAAATGCTTATTCATGAATTTGAAGAAAGCTGTTTTATCTTTTCATTTTTTCAATTAATAAGAAATTGTGAATCATTTTGGGAGAAAATACTATGTGAAGTTAAATATTTATAACATAAAAATAACTGCCTATTCTGTTATCTGCTTTGTGTCTGAGATATCTATGTATGTTGCCTCTTGGAGGGGAAATAGAAGAGAGAAAATAGAGCCTCTGACATAAATTCAGTGAGTTGTATATAGATTTTCCATAGATGTAACATTTGAGTTCAGTGCTAGTATACAAAAATACACATGTACCCTCCCTCTGACCCTCAGTGTATGACTTTAGTAGAAAAGTTAAGATAAAGGTTAAACTGAATAATGACAATAAAATCTTGCTTTCTTGGCATTTGGAGTGGTTTAAATATGCAATACTGAATTTCCTAAATAATAATCTGTTGTGTTTTGGTATCACTGATACTAGGCTAACATATAGCTAATACTTGCTGTGCAAAAGGATTTTTATAATGTCCTGTAGGATCTGTGCTACAGTGAATTGTTGCAAGATGGGATTAAATACATCTGAACTTAAAACCTGAGAAAATGTTGATAATCAATTAAGTTAATGTAAACCCATTCTCATTTTATGTAAATTTTCCCACATCAAACTAATAATAGTATATCATTTTTAGTTCCCTGGCTCATTGACGTGACTTTTGTAAATCATTTTTTGTAAATAAATTTATCTTTAGAGAGTGAGTGGTACCAGGGGAAAAAACTTCATATTGACTCTGTTCTGCATCTCTCAGTGAAAAACTTAGAAAAAGAGTGATTCTTAACAGTTGATGACTCTTTGAAAAAAGTCTATCTAGAAGGAGAACCTAAAAAGCTAATTGGATGGAAAGAATGCAGCAGCATGTAAGCAAAGGGCTAAAATTTTTATTTATTTATTTATTTACTTACTTACTTATTTTATTGGTTGTTCAAAACATTACAAAGATTGCAGAATCACATCGGTTACACATCCACATTTTTACATAATGCCATATTAGTAACTGTTGTATTCTGCTACCTTTCCTATCCTCTACTATCCCCCCTCCCCTCCCATCCCCTCCCATCTTCTCTCTCTACCCCATCTACTGTAATTCATTTCTCTCTTTGTTTTTTTCCCTTCCCCTCACAACCTCTTATATGTAATTTTGTATAACAATGAGGGTCTCCTTTCATTTCCATGCAATTTCCCTTCTCTCTCCCTTTCCCTCCCACCTCATGTCTCTGTTTAATGTTAATCTTTTCCTCCTGCTCTTCCTCCCTGCTCTGTTCTTAGTTGCTCTCATTATATCAAAGAAGACATTTGGCATTTGTTTTTTAGGGATTGGCTAGCTTCACTTAGCATAATCTGCTCTAGTGCCATCCATTTCCCTGCAAATATCCATGATTTTGTCATTTTTTAGTGCTGCGTAGTACTCCATTGTGTATAAATGCCACATTTTTTTTTTATCCATTCGTCTATTGAAGGGCATCTGGGTTGGTTCCACAGTCTTGCTATTGTGAATTGTGCTGCTATGAACATCAATGTAGCAGTATCCCTATAGTACACTCTTTTAAGGTCCTCAGGGAATAGTCCAAGAAGGGCAATAGCTGGGTCAAATGGTGGTTCCATTCCCAGCTTTCCCAGGAATCTCCATACTGCTTTCCAATTTGGGCAAAGGGCTAAAATTAATGTGAGAGATCAGGAATTTGGGGGATCAATTTGGGGACAAAAAATGAATATAAATAGTAAATTTTTTTACATGATGAAAGTATTCTACAATTAGCTCATGGTAATAGTTGCATAACCTATGAATAAACCGAAAGGCACTGAAGTATATACTTTAAGGGGGCAAAGTTTATGGGATGTGAATTATATCTCAATTTAGAAAAAAAACAAAATGAACTGGATTACAAGGGGAGTGGTGATTGAGGCCTCTGTGGCCTGGAGTAGAATCCCAACCAGGATGAGAATTTCTGGAGGCATGTGCAGTTTGGCAGTGGGCACCAGTGAAATATGTTACACATAGGGCGAACAGATTAAGTTTCTCACTTTTGTACAAGAAAATTACAACTTTGGGTGAAAAAAAAAATTCTTCTAGAATTAACCCCCTGGTATTGAATTGGAATTAGAGGCGCGCGCATGTGTGTGTGTGTGTGTGTGTATGTTTACAAATCAAAATGGATATAATACATGTGTATGTATACATACATTTGCACACATAAGGGTATACAAATACTGCCTAACAGTACAGTGAGGACTGGAGGAAATGATATCTCAACAAAAATGAGCATACCTAGTACACAGCTCTTGATATTCTGAATACCTTTCCTCCCTAAAGAGAACCAGAGATTCTTAAAAAAAAAAAAAAAAAAGACTGATTCCGTGGCTGAGGCAGGGAAGGTACAAGGTAAGCCTGAAGCATCTTATGCCAGAAACAAAGAAATGATCAGAAAATTATAAGAATATATTAAATGGTAACAGAAGCCAAGTTAAAGAGGCTTACCCTATCCAAATGTAGAAAAAAATTGAGCTTACTATATAAATACTGATAGTAACAGATTATAACCCAGTGAATAAAACAAAAACTCATGAGTTCATTTGATGTAGATAGATAAACAAGGTGGTAATAATAATAATAATAATAATGTATTTTGCTGGCACAGTGGCAAATGCTTGTAACAGCAGTCACTTGGCTTGGGAGGCCAAGGTAAGATCCCAAGTTCAAGGCCAGCCTCAGCAATTTAGGGGAGTGGGGGGAGGCTTGCAATTTGGCTCAGTGGGAGAGTGCCCTAGGGTTCAATCCCCATTACTGCAAAACATAATAATAAGGAGAAGAAGAATCACTATTTGGCAAGCCAAGAAACACCAATGAATGCTAAAAATACTGAGCAAAAGTTTGTTGAGGAGGAATTCTGACAGATATTTTTATTGTTTTGGTACTGGAGTTTGAACCAAGGGGCACTCTACCATTGAGCTCCATCCCCAGCTTTTTAGTTTGAGACAGTTGCCCAGGATGGCCTCAAACTTTAGATCTTTCTGCCTCAGCCTCCTGAGTAATTGGGATTACAGGCATGCGACACCACACCCAGACAGAAGATACTTTTGTACAAGCTTTCATGTTATCATTATTCACAATACGTAAAAGCTAGAAATAGTTTTAGGTGTTCAAAAAAATGAATAGATGAATTAAATGTGGAATGTACTACATACAGTGGATTATTATTCAACGTTAAAAGGAAATAAATTCTGATGTACGTTATAAAATGATGAACTTTGAAAGCATTATGCTAAGTAAGATAAGTCAGACACCAAAGACAAATATTATATGATTCCACTTAGGAAATGCAAATTTGTGGAGGTAAAATGGCAGTCACTAGGAGCTGGTGAAAGAAGGAAATGGAAAGTTATTTTTTAATAGGTAGAGTTTCTTTTGGGTATAATGAGTAATTTTGAAAATGGATAGTGGCAATATTTGTACAATATTGTGAAAATACTTAATGTCAATAGATTGTAACAAAAATGTTAAAAGGGCAAATTTTATTATGTATATTTCACCATAAAATATGTTGAGGAATTGGACACCCATTTACATAATTTCTCTCACCCCTGCCCGAGCCCCCAGCAAACTACTTACTTATTACAAAGGGAAAAATAATGTGAATGGAAAAGTCTGGCAGACACAGTCATAGCCAAGTGATCAAAATTAACACAGCAGCACATTTATGATAATTCTATCAAGAATGCTTAATTGGAATAAAATCAGGAGATGAATTTTAATTGAGAATTATTGTGCAGAATAACTGGCCTATAATCCCCAAAAGTGTCAAGGTTATGAAAGTTAAGAATAAAGAACTGTTCCAGATTAAAAGAGGTTAAAAAGAATTGATAACTAAATAAATTATATAAGCCCAAATTGGATCCTTCTACAATAAAGGACATTACTAAGTAAGTAATGTCAAACTTAGATGGGGTCTATTGATGAAGTCATAATAATGTGAAATATTATTTTTCTGATTTCTGTGCTAGTATTTTAGGTTATAAAAGAATGTCCTTGTTTATGGGAAATATATACCACTGGGAGGTGATAGGACATCATGTCTGTAACTTCCACATGGCTATGAAAAATATGTACTTTGTAGTATTCTTGAAACTTAAAAGCTTGAAGTTATTTCATGGTAAAAAAAAAAAAAAGATAAAAGAATCTGACCAAAGTAGTGATTGTGCCTGGGAACTAGATCCCAAGACTTGGACCATATTGAAATGCTAACTGTCAAAGAAATGGAAATTTTTTATATTAAGGAAGTTACAAAAACATTTTTTCAAATCCAAGTGTTTCTAATAGATAAATTGAGGATAATCTAAGTAGATTATAGATAAATTATAATCTCTAAAAGTGGAAAGCAGTTTATAAGTTGGAACCTCATAATTTAGGATTTAGAATGTGAAACTAAAGAAAATCATTGAACTAAATGTACAAATAGTTGCAGAACTAGACCGTGTTATTTTGAAAGATTCACAATTTCAATACTTTTTCATTATAGGTGATGCTGAACAGGAACTTGGTCCCCCTCCATCTGTAGATGAGGCAGCAAACACACTCATGACTCGTCTAGGTTTCCTTCTTGGAGAGAAAGTCACAGAAGTTCAGTCAGGTGACCAATACAGCATGGAGGTACAAGATGAAAGTCAGGTAAGCTGCTTGCTATTAACTCTGAAACATGGTATAACTCAATTTATTTCACAAGAAAAAAAATGGAATATGTGTGTTTGTTTGTTCTGAGAGGAATAATCCCAATTGTTGAATGTCTTTTGAGACCTGTAATATAACTTAATTTTCCATAAACTTGATAATTTTTCAGTTTATGAGACATCTTTAGTTTCATTCTCAGGTTTAAAACCCCAAAAAGACACTTTAAGATGTTGATTCATGTATTGAATGAATGAATAGATAAACAAACCAATAAGCAATCCAGCCAACAGAATTAACTTCTAAATACTGAACCTGGAAATTATAGAATATACAAGTACACATGGATTATTTACCAAATGGATAGTATACTGAGTCATAGAGCAATTCTTGACAAATATAAAAAGATTTCAGTTCAGAACACAGTAGAACTAATTATAGAATGATAACTTATAAAATGATAGCTAAAAGAAAACGTGGACAATCTCCAAATGCTTAGATGTTAATTAATATCCTTCTAAATAGCCTTTGAGTCCAAAAAATTAGAACATTTTAAAATATTTGCTCAAAAATAAATATTGGTTTTGAATACATATATTGCAGCAGCAGAAAACCTAAAAATTAGTGGTCTAAATATTTGTCTTAGTTTTAAAACATCAGCAATTAAAAAATTATTTCATAATTTTTTTCCTTTTGGATATTTCCATTGTTTTCATTTTAAATATAGCAAAGAAAGTACTTGAGCACTCTACCACTGAACTATAACCCCAGCACCCTGGTATCTTTTTTTTAAAATCAATTTATATAGTGACCATGTTAGTATGAGATGCTTTCTAGGGAAAAAATTGGAATGATATATGTTTAGGGTTTTAAAGTATTGGCATAAATAAAACATCTATTTTACTTTCCATTTCTTGATATTAATGTTAAAATATGACATATTCTAATAATGACCAAGTAACATGATGTAAGTCTTATATCAGATAGCCTGGGTCTTTGCCAAGGACTCTCTTCTTTCTATAAAACTATATATGTTCTGGTAATAAAATTTATGCTTATTGCTTTTGAGATTCTTTATGTCATAGTATGTCACAGTGATTCTGAATAAAGCCACAAGTCTATGGAGTGTGCCTTACTTGTAGATTTACTGAATGGAATAATCTTAAAATAAATGAAAATAGTACCATTGATTTAATGTAATCAAGGCAATATGGTATAACAAAAAAGCCATTGAAACCGGAGTAGAAAATTGTTCTAATACTAACAGTGTCACCAACCATCTTATAAATTTGGACATGTCTCTTAACCTCTCTGGGCTTGAGATTTTTTATAGATAATAATAACTGAAATTTATTAAATTCTTACTCTGTACCAATCATATTAATCACTTTACTTGCGCTATTTTGTTTAAGTTTCCTTACAGTCTAATGTGGTAGGATCCATTCAAATTTCAGCTTTTAGATAAGAAAGTGGAAACACTCTGCCATAAAGTGATATAAGGGTATTCATAACCAGGCATTATGCTTTTACCACCTGTGTTATTTACAGCAACACCAGACTGTTCCAGCATAACACGAAATCACAAAACCTGACAGGACAATTGTGAGAATCAGGTTAAATCATAAACACAAAAATATTTTGTAAGCTACAAAATGCCATTTGGAAACGGTATAAAATATATGTAATACAATTAGCATATAAATATATGCAAAACTATAATTTATAGGAGGACACTTCGTTGTTTTTATGTTTTTGATGGTTTTCATTTGCTCATTTCTTGAATGCAGGAAAAAATATTCATTGTACCTATCATACCAGATTGATAAGGAATAAAAGAAATAATATATAAAAGTATTTTTAAATTTCTAAGCATTATGTAAATGTAAATGTTAATAATAAAACTAAATGATAATTTCTTAGAATATAATATACCCTGGAACTGACTTGGAACCACAAAAGAGAGCGGCTAAATTGATCACAGAAATTTCTATTCTTAGCAAGATTATTAAGAACTAGGAAGTCATGTTTACTTGGTGGCTTTCTTCTGAGCAAAATAGCATACTAACAAAATAGACTGCCATATTTAGAAAGATCCTGTATTGATGATGTCTACAGAATGACACTAGTGATGACTCTCACACAAGTAAGTTAGCATATACATGTTTCTGCAAACAAAAAAATGTATTGAAAGTGATATTTGACTGACCACTTTATTTTCTTCTCTTAGCAGTTTCTTTTTATTATTATAATTATTGAGTCCTATTAGTTGTACAAATTAATGGGTTTCACTGTGACATTTCCATATATGTATATACATCCTTTGATCATATCCACCCTCTCTACTCTTTGCTCTCTTCCTTTCCCTTTTCCCCGCCTCCAGTCCTTTATCCTTCCCTAATGATCCCTCTTCTATTTTCAAGCTCTTATTTATTTCCACATATGTGATACTTCACTTTCTGTATGAAGCTAATTTCATTAATATGATAACCTGTAGTTTTATTCATTTTCCTGTAGATGACATAATTTCATTCTTCATGGCTAAATAAAACTCCATTGTATATATGCCCCCTTTTTAAAATCCATTCATCTGAAGATGGACACCTAGGCTGATTTCACATCTTGGCTATTGTGATATTGCAATAAATGGGTATAGAGTTATTTGTTGTATATGCTGATTTCATTTCCTTCAAGTTTATACCCAGGAGTAGCTGGATCACCTGAGTAGAACTATTTTTAGTTGTTCGAGGAACCTCCCTACTGTTTTCCATAGTATCTAATGTATGAATTCACATTCTCACCAACAGAGTATAAGGTTTCCTCATTCTCCATATCCTTATCAGCATTTGTTATTTTTAGTTTTAGGTTTTTTGTTTTGTTTTGTTTTGCTTTTTAAATAACCATTCTGAGCTGGGTAAGATGGAATCTCTGGATGGACCTAGGAATTCCATCTTAGGTTCTTAGCTTGTGTTTTTGTAGAAACTCTAAGAAATCCCAACTGGGGGCTTTCTTTTGATCCCTCTGAAGTATGTTAAGGACAATAAGAAACCACTGAAAGATTGTAGAAGTAGAAAGTAACTTAATTAGGTGTTCACTTTAGCCTATAGCATGGAGAACTGATAATGTTGTCTTTCTATATCTCATTAACTAGTCTTAAATAAATATGAGGCCTTCTTTTTAATTCATAAGACATGAACATATCTTCTGTTTTACAAACAGCTTGATCTTTAAGGTTTGCTTTTACTGGTAAAGCTTTTAAAATATATAGTCTATGATACGATAACTTGTAGTAAAAATAGATTGGGTTTAACCTCTGTAGTATCTAATGTATGAATTGGCAATGTTATGTGTATAATACAGTTTCCTTTCACAAAGAACAGAGTGAGAATCTTGTCTAAGAACAAAAATAGGTAGAGTACATGTCTTTTATAAAAAGTAATAGGGCATGCGGGCGGCCCGGGTTTGATCCTCAGCACCACATACAACAAAGATGTTGTGTCTGCCGAGAACTAAAAAAAATAAATATTAAAAAAAAAAAGAAGGCTGGGGATATAGCTCAGTTGGTAGAGTACTTGCCTCACATGCACAAGGCCCTGGGTTCAATTCCCAGCACCACAAAAAGAAAGAAAATAAATAAAATAAAGACATTCTATTTTTTAAAAATTCCAAAAAAGTAATAGATTCATATCAAAATAAAACCTTTTCAATATGGAATGATTATAGATATATCTAATGTAAAAGATTAGAACACGTTAATTTTATCAACACATTTTGTTATTTGTTTGTTTGTTTGGACTGAACCCAGGGGGCTTTACCACTGAGCCAAGTTCCCAGCCCTTTTTATTTTTTATTTTGAGACAGGGTCTTGCTAAATTGATGAGACTGGCCTCGAACTTGGTATCCTTCTGCTTCAGCTTCCCCAATCACTGGAATTATAGGCATGCACCATCACGCCCAGCCCAAGTATTTCTTAAACTGGGTGTGGAAAGGTTAGAAATTGCCCAGTGAATTTCTGATTGGAGGATTCTAATTCAGTAAGACTGGGATGAGAATCAGTATCTGTCAGTTTTATTAGAGCTTATGCATTTGTTTTTTGCATCCCACATTTGTTTTTTGCATGCCTAGTTAAAAATCTTCCTCTAGTAGACCAACCCCCTTTTATATGAATAGAGGAGATAACAAAGAAATTGAAATTCCTCTGTCCTCTGGAAAGAGATTATATAGTAGAGGAAATGTGCGTATATTAAGCACTTATGTTATTAAGAAAACTCAGCTCTTAATGTTATTGATATGATTCAAAGGATTTATGTAGTTGTAGGATAATGAGAATGTCATTTGTGCTTAGTTGAGTCAAATGTATCTTTTATGACCTGGTGGTAGTATTTAAATGAAAATCAAAACCTGGATAATTAAATACAAGGGATTGCATATGGAAATTATCATTGAAAAGCCTATAATATTCTTATAGCTAATAAGCAACATGTTCTTCAGTTAAATTATTAAATGTAAATCCTCAGATTTAGCAAAGAATATGAATACAGACTATGTAAAGAATTTGAAAGACTTCTTTTAAATTAATATAGAAGCATGTTTACTTTAGCGTTAGTGCTTCTTCAAGTAACTTACCATTTTGAAAAGAATCAAATTTATTTTTGATAAAAATATATTTTCATTTACAATTTCAATACTTTATTTGGGTAGAAGGAACTGAAGAAAAGTGAATTGTTATGTTAATTGCCCATTCCTTCATCAAAAAGGAGGTAATTTCAGGTTCAAAAATCATTAATTAAGGACACAAACTGATCTCTGCAGTCCATTTCTACAGAGATAGTTAGTTTTGTATTAAATCAACATTGTTTGACATATTTTATAAGATAAACTTTTAGAATAAGGCATTTTTCCTTGTGCTCAATTACTGTTTCATGTGGCTGCCTATATATCAAAAGACATAAATTCGCATTAAAAACTTTATTTCTCTTCACCTTCAGAGGTATTATTTCTTTTTCTTTACAAAGAAAATTATTAACAAAGTTCTAAGCCTTCTGAAAGTTTTGTTGTTTATAAATAGCAAGGAAAACTTGTACATAATAAGAAATTTCTATATTCTGATACTGAATATTTACTTATCACTGTTATTTCCTAAGCAGGAAAAATGGGCCACAAGTCTCTGCTCATGTTAAATTTATGAAGATTCACCTTAATTATAGAAACTGTAGTTTCTTTGCTGGAAAGCAAAGGCAAAGCCTGATGGATGTAAAAGCCATGTGTAGATTCTTTATTCTTTTTTCATTAAGGTATTATTTTTTCCAAAAAGTACTTAACTAGTCAGTTTATCTTTACTTCTTGATTTTAATTTTTCAGACCTCAGCAATCACCCAGCGGATAAGTCCCTGTTCGACACTAACAAGCAGCACTGCCTCTCCACCAGCCAGTAGCCCCTGCTCTACCCTCCCACCAGTCAGTACAAATGCTACTGCTAAGGATTGTAGCTATGGGGCTGTTACTAGTCCAACCTCCACCCTTGAAAGCAGAGATAGCGGCATCATTGGTGAGTTTATTTTTGTAATAATCTTTTTTTATTATTATTAGTTGTTCAAAACATTACATAGTTCTTGACATATCATATTTTGTAATAATCTTTTTGTGTCTTTGCTTTTTTTCTTTTCAAACATATAAACTTAAGATTTTCAAAAATCTACTTTTGATATTATAGACAGATTGTTAGATGTTGTCTGTCTTTTTATTGATGCTGAAGAGAGAAATAAAGGTAAACAAAATGCAAGTTATATCTCCTTGCTTTACTTATCAAGCTATTACTTGATAAGAAGTAGATAGAAAAAGTTCTGTACACGTATTTCTGTAAATTCCCAAACATCATCTGTCAACAAAAATGGTTCAGAAAAAGTTTATTCTTCACTGGAATAGTACTGAGTTTTGTGAAAAACTGAAAGAAAAGATTAAGATTAAATGGCTAAAGAACTGAAACTGGAGTTGTTTGTGAAACTGGAATCTGTGCAAATCACATATCAGTCCTTGGATAAGTTTGGGAGCCCCTTCTGGCTTCTTGTCAGCAAAAACATTCCCACTTTTCTTTTCACCCTCTAAAAGAGGGGAAAGTGTTGTTTCTTTGCTTATGATTCAGGAATCTTATAGTAATACATTCTTATGACAAGCTTTGGCACAAAGAAAACTTGAAATTTGGGGAAGTAACCAAGCTAAGAAAACTGTCATTTCATTTTTCTCTTTTAAATTTTCTAATATAACTTTTAAATAGAATATCCTAGTAAATTACATGGTTCTAGGACTACATCTAAATTGTCTTCAACTTACTAATTAGCAGTTTGCAGCAGATACAAAAAAAAAAAAAACCATTCTGGGAGGTTATCCATGAGTGAGATTAACTTCAAATTTTCCTTTCTTTTTCTACCATTGTTAGGTTTTAGTATCAAGAATTAGGCTAGCCTAGGGCTGAGGCTGTAACTCAGTGGCAAAGTGCTTCCCTGGCACAGGTGAGGTACTGGGTTCCTCAGCACCACATAAAAAAATAAATAAAATAAAGGCATGCTGTCCATCTATAACTACAAAAAAAATTTTTTTAAGAATTAAGTTAGCTTCATAACATTGGTTGAGCCCATCCAAATATAAATATTGTTCAAGATACACCCTTAATATCTCTGTTCTTTTCTTTCTTAAGTGTTTCCATCCTTTTTTTTTCTCACTACCAAAGCAATGCTCTCTCTTCCATGATGCCCATTTCATTTCTCCAACTCCAACTTTTTTTGTTGTGGGTTTTTGTTGTTGTTGTTGTTGTTGTTGTTTTTTAGAGAGAGTAAGAGAGGAGAGAGAGGAGAGAGAGAGAGAGAATTTTTTAATATTTATTTGTTTTTAGTTCTCGGCGGACACAACATCTTTGTTGGTACGTGGTGCTGAGGATCGAACCCGCATGCCAGACGAGCGCGCTACCGCTTGAGCCACATCCCCAGCCCCTATTGTTGTTGTTGTTTTAATACTGGGGATTGAACTCAGGGGCACCTGACCACTGAGTTACATCCCCAGCCCTCTTTTGTATTTTATTTAGAGAAAGGTCTCACTGAGTTGCTTAGCACCTTACTTTTGCTGAGGCTGGCTTTGAACTTGAGATCCTCCTGCCTCAGCCTCCCGAGCTGCTGGTCCAAATTTGATTTTTGATTCTACAAAGTTACACTTTTTATCACCATTCTTTTCACCACGGACAGAGGTTCAAAAATAATCATGAAGCACTCCAGTTATCTCTGCCTTCTCTGGAAATCTAAACAGACTGCTTCCTCTAGTCTTACCAGACCTTCTGTCAATAACTAATATTGTTACTTGCAGTTATATATTGTTTTTCTTTATAGTAGAACACATATTTCTAAATGGCAGAACTCACGTCTTATACTTTTTATTTACCCTCCAGATTTATCCTAATAATTTCTAATTTATGACTCATTTGTATGAGAAGTCATTAGAGATAATCATTAGATAACTAAATATTTTTGACTAAGTAATATAGAGAAATAAAAACTGATGAAGAGTACCTTCTCTGTCCTCTGAAGTGGATTGTGAGATATTGGGATTACTTGTTCTTTGAATATTATTAGGATTCGTTATTAAAATAATCGAGACTCAAAGTTGTCTTCATGCAATGAATGCAAATGTCTTAATTATTTTAAACTACTATTTCCATACATTTAGTACTATAAAACTCTATTTAAATTTTCTTTTTCTTCTCACATCAGTTTTTCTTATAGTTTTTATCTTTCTTCAAGTTTATTGGCATAAAGTTGCCTAAAATGGGAGCTCAGAATAATCTTTATTATGTCCCTCTCCCTGTATTTCTCATTACTGTGTTTTATTTTGTTTCTTCCTAGCATTGCTTTGGTGGTCCTCACTATCTCAGACTTAGATTAGTAATAATTTCATTGTTCTCTTGACTTTTCATCTTGCCTTCCTAAATCTGTTTTTCAAACAGCCATCAAAATAAATGAACTGAAAATCAATTACTTCTTTAACTCTGAGCTACCTATAAGATGAAGGGAACTACTTGAAAATTAAATCTGACCACATCACTTCTCTGACTCCAAATTTACATTTTAGATAAAGCCTAGGCCTTCATGATCTGGTGATGGCCAGTTTCTCCAGTCTTCTCTCCCACTTCTTCCAAGAACCTTATACTTATTATTCTAGCAATACTAGAATTCGCTATTGCCTGACATGTTCTAGTTTTTTCATTTCTATGTTTTTGCTCATGTTGATTATTCTTCAAATATCTCCTTTTAAGTTTGACTTATTTCTTACAAATCTTTTAAGATTCAGCTTAAGAAATATTGTCACCAATACTACCACCATCTCTCTTCAGCTTTACACTCATGCTTCTATCCATTGCATAGCATTATTTCATTACTGCGTATGCACATTACTGGGCATATCTGTATCACTGCATTTAATACATGGTATTATAATTATTTTTTGAGCCTGCTTTCCCCCATTAGACATATTAATTCCTTTTTAACAAATACTGAGACTTAATCATCTTTACATCAGTGGCACTTAGCCCAGTAACTGGCACTGGCACATTGTAGCAGAGTAGTTGCTTAGTAATATCTGATAGGAGATTATAAGGAGGATGGTGTCTAACTAGGCACAAATATAAGACCATTAAGATAATAAAATTATGCCAATAAAAATCATAAATAGACCCATACAGGAATCCAGGCCCAAGTCAGACTGGCAGACCCACACCCAAGCCCAGGCCCAAGCCTAGGATCGCTCCTATCAACCCAGGTAGGAGCCCTGGCCCAGGCCCAGAACCACCCAGCAGACCCATGCAGAATCCCAGGACTAGGTCAGGCCCAGAGCCATCCCCCGGCAACCCACCTGGAAGCCCAGGCCTATGTAAGGCTCAGGACTGCACCCCCCCCCACCCAACCCACACCAGAGCCCAGGCCCAGATCAGGTTCAGGACTGCCCCTGCTCACCTGTGTGAGAACTCAGGCCCAGGACTGCTCCTGTGCAGAGTGGAGGACCATGCCGGAACTCCCCATTTACCAACGCATTGCTCCCCCAACCAGCCTCCATCTTGGGACACTGCAGCCACCACCATAGCCCTTCCCATGTAGTAGCCTCCATCTTGGGACAACAGGCAGAGCCTGGAGGCAGCTGCATCTCTGAACAGGCAGCCTAAAGCCCCATCTCTGAAAGTGGTTGCATCCATCTTAGGAGATTCCCACTGCTATCTTGAGTTACCTCTGCTATTGCCACCATCATTTTAGTTATAGTGTCATCCATGTTGGGACACTGGCCAGGGACTGGAAGCACAACACCAAGGTGAGGTACAGGAAATCTTTAAGGACACTACAAGATTAAAAGGTAGAATTTGCAATACCTCAGATCTGCACTGCAAGAAAGGAAGACACATAGACAACATGAAAAAACAAGGGAAGAAAGTACCCCAAACAAACCAAGATACTACAATAATAGAATCCATTGACAACACAGTTGGTGAAATGTTCAGAATGTACATAATTAAAATGATCTGCAAATTAAAGCATGACATAAGAGAACAAATGCAGGCCAAAAATTGATCACCCTAACAGAGATAAGAGAACAAATATAGGTAACCATTGATCACGCCAACAAAGACATAAGGGAGCAAATACAGGTAGCAAAAGATTACTTTGAGAAAGAGAGATTCTTGGGGAAAAAAAAACAATCAGAAATCCTTCAAATGAAGGAAACAATAAATATAAAACTCAATAGAAAGCATCACCAACAGACTAGATCACTTGGAAGGATAGAATGTCAGATAATGAAGACAAAATATACAGTCTTGAAAATAAAGTTGACCACACACTGAAGATGGTAAGAAACCATGAACAGAACATCCAAGAATTATGCGATAGGATCATAAGAACAACTCTAAGATTTATTGAGATAGAGGAAGGCAGAGAGATTCAAACCAAAGGAATTCACAATCTATTGAATTAAATAATATCAGAAAATTTCCCAAACATGAAGAATAAAATGGAAAATCAAATACAAGAGGCTTATAGTACACCAAGTGTACAAAATTACAACAGATCTATACCAAGGCACATTATAATGAAAATGCCTAGCATACAGAATAAGGATAGAATCTTAAAGGCTTCAGACCAATTCAGATCTCAGATTTTTTCAACCCAGACCCTCAAAACCAGGAGATCCTGGAACAACATATACCAAGCTCTGAAAGAAAATGGTTACCAACCAATAATATTATTCCAGCAAAATTAAGCTTCAGATTTAATGATGAAATAAAAACCTTTCATGATAACCAAAAGTTAAAAAAAATTACAGCAAGAAAGCCTGCACTGCAGGGCAATATCAGTAAAATATCCCAGGAGGAGGAAATGAAAAGTAACATGAAAATCAGCAAAGGGAGGAAGTACAGCAAAGGGAGGAACTACACCAAAGGAAAAACTCAGTCAAGGAGAAACCAAAAATAAACCAAAATATCTGGGAATACAAATCATATTTCAATAATAACCCTAA